CCCTGCGAATCATTAATAGTTAAAAGTGGAACGCATGTGGATTTTTCCTGCTGGTTTATTTTCGAAAAAATATTTGAGTAGTTCGGTTCAGTCTATAATGATTCAGCCTGGTTATAAATGCGTTTGGACTTTAAATTGACAGAAGTTCAACGGGGCTGAGCAAAATTTGAAAAAATTCAGAGGACTCGAAACTGCACAAATGGTTTTAGGATGCAATTTCGTTTGACAAATTTACCTAAAAGCAGTGAACACGGCTCAAAATTTCGCGTACATTTTGGTAATCATTTCACTCGGGGGACTTTTTTTTATCCAAAAAAAAATTGACAATCTACTTGAGAAGATTCCTCTTTAAAAAAAATGTTTGTACAAAATTAAAGTGGGATCAGGGCTCAAGGATATTCGGGCCACTTCTGGAGTGTAAATGGAAATAACCGAGCAAATGGAAAACTCGGCACAATAATGAATCGGCGAAAAAGATCTCATTATTCAAACGATCTTGAATGATGATTTCAAAAGAAAGGAGTGCTTTCGTTCGACTGCCACGATTAACTTTCAAAGATGATCCGAATTCATTTGCAAAAGCTGATGATTCATTTTTAATACGATAAACGTAATTTTCCTTCCCCGAGATCATCCTGAGTATTTATTTTTTCTTCAAATATGAGCCATTGAATATATGCTCATAAATGCAGAATTCGATTTAAGGGGATGTGAGGAGAAAATGCCCATCGTTTGAAATTCATCTGTTCAAATAATTTCTCGGTCTACCCATATTTTCATCTGCTCATTTTTCCGCTCAATGATTCAAAATAAATCCGAGGCCGAATCTGTGGAGAAAAGATGCAAAAATAATGGCACTAGTGCATTAATATTTCCTGCTGTGAACAGTATGATTTTTTATGAGACCAAAGCGTGTCTCTGAAAAACGAAGGAACACTTTATATTTGTTATATTGAATGTTAAACATACATGATTTGTTTTACAAACAATTATATTTATGATGAAATGAATACTTGAGTCACAAGCCAATTTTGGAAATCCATTGGTTTCATAATCACATCCGAATAGTTGCCACCAAAATAAAAGATAGCCTCATTTTTTTCGAAGTACATAAAATAATATTCAAGGAGGTTATTTTTAAATTAAAAATTGATTTGAGGCAAGCAGAGATGAACATTCCCTGGTTTTTAACATTTAAAATTTAGTCCTCGATAACACTGAATCAGTGCTGAACAATGCAGGAATCGTTTGCCAATTCGAAAAGATAAAAAGATTCGCATAGTGAAGATTTGCACGTTGAATAAATTAGTCCAGAAATTACAACGAATATAGGAGGGCGAATGATTGAATTTAAAAATAATATGTAGTATTACATATTTAAGAGTACATTTGAAAGGATAAGTTCTGAGGGTACAAACTGAAAGACATCCAAGTTATTTCCAACCCTAACTTTCAAAGCAGTTGTGAGGCATCTGATTTTAACTATTATATTCCACATACTGGTTTTAATTTTATGCAGTCAAGGGATTGATAAAAAAAACAGCCGATAATAAATACTGTACAGTATTGGCCCAAGGTGCACCAAACTACTGTATCTTCCAAAAGGTAAGGAGAAAATTACGCTGACATTTATAGATTTATTCGAAAAAATTCTTTTATTAAATATTGCTTGCAAACTAATTTTATTTTCAAGTAGGATTTCAAAATGCAAATCGCAATTGCCTCAAGGTTACATTATAAATCACCAACAAACCCAAAGAAACATGAATACACTGTAACTGAATGTTATTCTTAGTGTGTGGCAATAGAAGTACTGTATACATTTAAAATATACTGGTGCTAAATTTAAGTAATCCAGAGAAATTTGTGCTCTTAACATGTTGCATTTTACAATTTAAAAAAAGAAGAGGTTTAAAACTGTGTCCTTCTTTTATAATTTTTAAAATAAATTTTCTGAGCATTTTTGCAGTTTTAGCGCAACATTTCCAAAATTTGAGTGTTCTATACAGCCAAAAGATTTTGTTCAGAGAACACTCTTTGTGTCTGTGAGTAGCTCACATTTTTCTCTCTGTTAATTTTTAAAAGCAGATTTTTCTTTCTTGTGTGATGTGCCTGTTGTTATATGTGTTGACTCCTCCTGTATGGGTACTTGTCTCTTACAACAACCAAAAGCAGCAACAGGTTTTCTGGTGGTACAGTATATAGAAAAAAACAAAAAAGTCTGACACAAGATTACCCTCATCATCCGGTATTATTACAGCCACAACATGCGCTGGTTCATCATGCGTCATCTCCTGCTGTCTGTTGTACTGTATATGCTCCTCAGCAGCGCACAGAAGCAAGCAAGTGGCTTTGGGGAGGGCCCCCAGCCTCGGAACATCCAGGCGACGCAGCGATGCCCCCGTCTCAGCGCTGCACCGCGGCAGAGATCCGGCGGCGCGATTCGGCAACGGAGCGGGCCGACGGGGGCCCCGCAAGGCGACCCATTTTTCACCGCCCAGTTTCTCAGTTCCCCTCCGGTTCAGTCGCGCGCGCGCGGGCGGGTTCACTGTACCGGACACAATGGAATGGGTGTATAATGAAGCTTGAGAAAAACCGTAAATTAGGGGAACGGTAATGAGCGCGGCAGGCGACAGGGCCGAGTGCGTTCCGTACCTGCGAACAGTCGCCCACTCGCTGCGAGCGGGATTCGCGCGGCTGGAGAGCCATGAAGACGAGTGAGAGAGGGAGAGAAAAGGACCAAGAAGGGGGGATATACGTGAGGAAAGAGAGAGAGAGATGAAAGAAAAGAAGGACAAAAATAAACCCGTGGCAGAAGAGTCCACCGTCTTACCAAGCTGTGCGACAAGTGTCGGGCCGAGTCGTTCTGCGGTGCTTTACTCCGCTGCCAGCGTCCGACCACAAAATTTCCTTGCTCCCTCGGTCGCAGTAAAACCAAGCCGTAGTACCCCGTTCTTTTGGATATCACAATGTTTTTATGTGCTGGGCGCGTCTTTGTCCCCCTGGAATATTTCTGCAGTCTAATGATCCCACCATTGTTTTTTTTTGCTTTTACAAAACTCGCGTTGTGTGATGTTCGCTGGGATGGATCATCCCGCTTGTGCAAGCACGCAGTGGGATCCGCGCATCTCCGAGCGCCTTGTCTGAAAGTCTTTGGGATTTCTGTGTGCCATGCGAATTCAATCAAGTGCCTCATCGCGGTCCGAGTAGAGTTGGTGTTCTGATGGTGATACGTTTTGTGGGTGTGAACACAGTAAATGAGTTGATACATGCATCGCTTACGTGCTCAGTATCTTTCCCTGCTAAATATGAGTCGGCACTATGACTCTATATATACAAAGCTCCAGATGTGGTACTCTACAGCAGTGTTCCCCAACCTTTTTGGACCCATGGACTGGCGAATTTTCGTAAAATTTTCTGCGGACCGGCATGTTTCAATGAAATTCTCTGTGGTCTGGTAGCATTCCATCAAAGTTTTCCAGACTGGCAGAAGAAGTTCAAATACATCCCATGAAGTCCTCCGAACAAAACTTTTATTTGAACAATCAAGTTTAGAACCTAATTGAAGCAACTATAGTGAAGTGTCTTCAAAAAATTAGAAAGCTGGGCTTAAAAAAGGTTTTCCAGAAGAAAAACTGAAAATGATTTATTTCAGTAGGTGAAACTTATTCTCGAGTGTTATTGAGGGAAAAGCCAACTTTTATTCTAACTGGATCATTTCAACTGCCATGGTCTTTCCAAACCATCAGATAACAATAACAGACTTCATTACAACTTCTGATGCATTTATTAAGCTGAAAATCTCCGGTGGACCACGGGTTGGGGCGTTGGGCAACACTGCTCTTGAGCACTTGTACATGACCGTCGCGGAGTTGGGTAATCAGTGATATCCGTAAGTCAAGGTAGGTAACTTAACTGGCTTCCCATAAATTGATTCGTTCGTTCATTCGAAGAAGTTGTAAACTTCTGGTTTATAGTGGACGTTATTTCAGCGACATGATGCTGAACAGATTGTAATACAGTACAGTATATTGGCCCTCGTTATGCATCGGTGTGAAGCTTGTTCCATTCGCGACACTCGATATCTCATCTGGTGCGAGTGAACGGATGGGTGCATCATTAATCTGGCTGAAGTGTCCATTTCTTATGAATTTCAGGCCGGTCGCACAAAAAATTTTTGCCATTAAGCACCTTTCGCGACGGAGTATATGGACTTGTACATGGGATGTAAGGGATAAGGTTCCGCACAGTACATTTTTTTTTTTTTGACGCGTCTGACGGTAATTTTCGTTCTAAAGTACAGTGCAGTACTTTTGAAGCAGTCATGTTGTGTTATATACTTCTTTAGCGGTGCATCAGGCCAGTTTTTCGCGATATGATGAAGTACACAGTCAACAGTCTGTAAACTGAGCAACTGAACTGTAATCCATTAGATTTCATTGTGAAGTTCGGGTCGCGGATCGGAAGGGCGAAGAAAATTTGATTTTTACGCAGCAGTATCTCCTTAACGGTTTGAGCTAGCACCTTAAAAACTCCGTCCTGTTAAAATTCATTGATTTATCTTCCTAATCTTAATAACCTTCTTCGGGGTTTTTATTTCATTATTACCTGTATTTTTTAATGGACGCTCTTGGTGATGCTGTTAATATTAGTGCGATAGAGCCACAAAATCAGGAATGATTGTAATGAAAAGTGATTCAATTTTATGTCCGGCGAATCTTTCTTATCGATAGTAAAGTTCGAGCCATTTCTGAGGTGCAACATCACATAATATAATTATCTGTCTTTTTTCTTATTCTACGGTATTGTATGTACTGTATATATATAATGGTAAAAAAAAGACGTGCCATAACTGTGGCCTTTTCTCTGTTTCTTGGAAATACTTTCAAAGTTTTCGCACTAAGATGAAGTGATTACATTACTTGGATGTGCAATTGAATTTACAATGTTTCGTCTGTGAGGTTCATGCTGGGCTATCACATGTACTGTATATATTCCCCGCAGATGTACTCGAGTTGTTCCGCAGTTGTGGGGGCGGCATCTATGGTTGTTAGCGCTGTATGCTGGTCGTTGTTCACTTATGAGCCCACCATCGTGGGAACGAGCTTCTTATAGCCAACCTTTCTCGCAAGAGAAGCGTCAAGTGTGGGTTCTTGGTGAGTTGAAAGACGAGATCTAATCGCTGAAACATACAGTATCGAATTTTCCACGTTCAGTATAAGACACGCTGATTTTTGGGAGGATTTGAGTGTCTTCTAAGTTTAGAGACCGAGGCTTTTTCGGAGAACCCATTGTGTCGAAATTTATTGCATCTGATATGGAGGTGAACAGGGTTGTGGACTTGCTCTTCGGTGTACAAACTTCGGTTTCAAGAAAAGTTCTCGTGCTATGTTAAATTTTCCTGCGATGAAAAGTTGTGATGTCGTTTATTTGCTAAGGTGAGGAATCCTTCTTCAACATGTGGGCCATCTGGTGTCAATTCTTTTGATGTGGAGAGAGCGGTGATTTTCTACGTTTCACATACAAGCTTGTACCGGACTTCCGCGATGGAGTCTGCTTCGATAAAAGAAGAAACGACGGAATCTTCATTTACTGTGCGTGATATGTGACATTTATTCTTTGTTCGATCAATTAATACAAGTTCTGTTATTTTCAGAAAGCAGAAAGTCCGTGGGGTTGTTCATCGGATGCATTGATGTTTGGTTGCACATCAGTGGTTTTCAAGCAGTCGGATTTTGAAGACGATTTTCCATCTTCCATGGAACCCATTCCGCCTCAAGCGCTTCCCTCTCTTGGGACGAATTCCGCGCAGCAAAAAGCAGACGAAATTTTCCAGGTTATTGAAGCTGAAGGGCATAAATACGGAATTGAAGCTCATCGTTTCCTTGTTGGATGGTATAATGATCAAGTCGGCCCTCAATTCCGAATACCCTACGACCCCGACACGCTTGCATTCTTGTTCATTTCTACTCCTTCAATGTTCGAGAAGGCTTTCATTCCTTTCGTGAATTCGAATTCCAAGTTCACGAGTGATGAAACACCCAATGAAGCTGCGAAAGAGTCCGACAGCGAGGATGAGATTATTCCTGAAGTGAAACCGAAAATTTTGGATCCTATTGATCGCTGTTCGTCGAGTGTGTTGCGTTCGATTGCGGAAGAACTTGCAGAGGAAGTAGATATCATTTCAGATTTTGAAATGATAAACCGTCGTCCGAGAATTCTTGTGCAAACGATGGGCCACGTAGCTGGTGCTGCATATTTGTACCACAAGAAAGATTTGACCAACGACTCCGCGATCAGTCATAATGGGGAAAACTTCCTTGGAGTCAGTATACATCCTTTGTTCGGAGGATGGTTTGCTTTCAGAGGAGCGATGGTTGTGAAAAACTTCCTCTGTCCTGACCTACCTAGGAAACCATGCGTTGATGTTGTACCTGATGAATCCCGTCGCATATGGCTTCTGAACGAATTTAACACCAATTGGAATGAATGGACTTACAGAGATGTGATCCCGGTTTGTGCCAGATACTCCGACTTGCAGAAAAAATATTTCGGAACGGTTCCTGCGCAACGACAGGAATTGATAGATTCTTACCTGAAACAACAAGCTGCGGCAGGGGATTTGTCCGAGACCGATGACTGAAGCACAGGTTGCAAAAGTGGTTTAGCGTGTGATGAATCTTGAATAAAAAAAAAAAAAAAAAAGACACGTTTGTTCTGTGAAAGGTGTGCGGTGTGTTCCATTTGGTGGTTAGTTGAACTCAGCTAGCGGCGTGAAATCGAATCGATCCGAAATTTGTGCAATAGTTACGGTGAATGGTGAATTCTGAAAGTATTTATTCATGGTTATTAAATATTCAGAAATTCTTATGCTTTTGAAGGTGGCAAATGTGAACCATGAACCTTTCTCCCCTCCGTTTAATTCGCGCTTCGGCTCCATGGGTGCGTTCGTTCGCGACTACGAGCAAAGGCATTGATGAGTTCGGTTTCAGTACCAAAATCCACGGACGCGACGATTGGACCGTTGTGACCGACAAAGGGATCGTGGTTTGTTGGCATCCGGAAGTTCCTACACCCTATGAATTCACGAAGGTTTGTCTCGGACTTTGAAATTGAGAAGCATGAACTTTTTCCGAAAAGTCGAATAGTCGTGGAGATATTGATTAGGCGACCTAGGAGAGTTGTAAACAAATAAGTGCTGTACATTTCGTATTGTCACGCTGTATCATTTTCTGAACTCCAGTCGTTGCCGTGATGTCGTGATCAAGAGCTGATACCCCATTCAGTGACCTAACCCTGTTCAGTAGTTTTATCATGGTTCAAAGTGACGAACCGTAATGAAAAACACCTGTACAAAAATATATTCTACTCTACATATCGTCTTATTTGTGTCGTTATTAATTTGCTGAATGCCTTTTTGGTGTAATTCGTACTTTTTCTTGACTTTGAACTTGACTTGAAGATCTATTATCATTTTTCCGTTCTTATGAATGACGGACTGCCGAATTGGGGCGACCCACAAGTTATTAATTTCTTAAAGCGATGCGATGATAAACTAACACTAAGTCATACATTATGTGCGTATCAATAGACCCAAGAATGTTTTACCTAAAAATAAAATTGTAATTGTTGCCAATCTTTAACCTCATGGGTGGTCACTTCTTAGAATATCAATCGAGGAATATTTTGTAAGTTTTTATTGCTTATCGTGATGTCCGAAATAATTTTGCGTCATTAGAATGTGTCTTATTCTTGATTTTTTTTCTAATTATGAATGATCATTTGTCAGCACTTTAAATAAATTTTTCAATTTCAGCCATTGCCTGTTACTGTGAACTCACAAGATGGGGAGAACCTGAAAATTCAGCTGAAGGAAGATCTCAAACATGTTCGTCGCCCCAAGTACGAAAAAGCCATGATTGATGAATTGATGAAAATGACCTATACTACGAAGCATCGATGGTATCCAGTGTGAGTAGAAGGTTGTCAACTTGAGAAGTTTGTTGATGAATGAAATTCGTATTTTGTATTTTCACAGGCCCCGTAAGAAGTATAACAGGAAGCCGACGCGCGAACGTGATGGATTGTAAAGAGCGATTTTGTCTCGCCAGTGCTAGTGAATCAATTTATAGGAAAAGAAAAAGACGGGGATTTGTTTCGTTCTCGGATTTTGGGATTTTTCAAAATTGTAAATCTAATCACCGTGTTGTGTTTGTGTTGAATTTTTTCAGGTCTCCATCACCGCTATTCCCCTCCTTTTATTTTTGGTTCGGATTCCCTCTTTGGTTCATCTCGTTTTTCCCCCGTACGGAAAGCATGTGCTAACACGTGTTAACATGACTTCACCGTGTTGAGTTTCGGTCGCGATTGTTTGAGTTGGAAAGTGTGCACGAAAAAAAAAAATTCAGCATCATGGAACATTACCGTTTGAAGTGGAATTCGCATCACGAGGAAACATTTGCTGCGTTCGAGTCCTTGTTGGCTGATGAGGCCTTTTCTGACGTCGTACTCTCGTGCAGAGGGATGACGATGCGAGCTCATCGACTCGTGTTGTCTGCTTGCAGTTCCTACTTCCGGCAGGTCAGTACTTGCCCGTTTCGTGTATGGTGGAAGAATATTGGTTTTTTACGTCCTCCATTAATTGTCAGACGAAAGCCAATCAGGGAATACCGTATCCTTCTTGAAGCTGTCCTTTCACTGTTTTTTATTCTTTCAATCCCAACTGGTGCAGGGGTGGGAATAATCTATTACTGGAGGACTCCATCTCAACAACGAAATTCTCTTGACAACAAATGTTTTTTCCGGTCTCCTGAGAGCAAAATTCAGCGGACTAAAGAAAATCATCGAGAGTTTCGCTGTAGAAAACTCCGAGAATTTGGGTATAATCCCCTGTGGGTACAAAAGAAAATTCGTTATACGGAGAAAATCGTTGTAGACAAGATTTTTGTTGGGGAGAGTTTTCCTGTACTTTACTGCACTTAAATCATCTAAACTTTGACCCGAATCATTTATAATGTAATCCAATTATAAGTACAGTATTAAATCAATCAAATCGTACTCAATTTAAACCCTACGTATGCCATAGTCTAATACATAATCTAACGTCACTGACCGTATTATACTGTAATCTCGTAATCTCTAAACCTGAGCTCACGGGTTGTTCCTGCAACACAACTACCCTTACTCAACGCCTAACCAAATGAACCTCCCATCAATCAAATCAACACCCTTTAGTTGATTAAGCTGCTCTTCGACGGTGTAAATCAGGCTGTGTCCCTGTCCTCAAAAGGAATCCGTTTCAGCTTTCAGGTCATTCTTCACTTTCACGAACAGCCCGAAGTCATAAGGTACCTAATCAACCAACAGAACTCGATTTTCGGCATTGTTTTGATCTTTGGATTTATTGCATGAAGAAATGCATTGAAATCGGCAGAGAGTATGTTGAACAGCACTCCCAAATGATGGGACTGTGCGAGTAAATTTTTTGTTGTTGAATTTTTGATACTCCGTAGGAGCTATTTTAAAAAGTCTCAACTTATGAACCAATTCTTGTATGTACATCAACGTAATCTGGCATTGACGCCTAATGTCTAACATAAATCAGTCGTACACGAAGATAGCCGAATTCAACCTCACACTGGACTAACCTAACCTCAGACGAATATAAACCGGCGTTCTATAAATCTGACATTACGTAATAAAGTGAGAATAAGCAACTTACCGAACCTAATACAGTACCATACCTGAGTCGAATAAAAATAATGTATCCAAAATTTGTCATAACTCACTTCTTTCTCCTCGTGTCTCGGCCATGGGTTGAAGCATATTGATGAAGAAAGACTTCTAAGCAGCTGTAACTTTGAAAGACCGTTTTTAATAATCAAGTGCGCCAAAAGAATTGATCCGTCGCGATAATTCACAAGAGTCGTGGACTTCAATGCGTGTCCCTCGCCTGGTTTCCAAGCTTGCGGTTCTTTGAAATTCAGTTTATTTCGTAGACGACATGACGACTTGCAAGAGATAACCGTTCACGGGAGTTTTAGATTACTTGTCTCGCATTGTGGGAATGATTTACTATTGTTTATTTTTCAGAGCGCACTAATTAAAAATACAATGATGAAATCGGATGCAAAGGCATCCCCATGTCCCATATTATAGGACAGTGAGTTATAGCAGCAGCTGTAAAAAAAAAAATTTTCTTATCGTTGGACGAACTCAGGCCAGAGAACGGCAGTGTTTATTTCAAGTCTACGAACCTAGAGTTCAACATGTGGTGAAATCACCGCGAGTTCCGTTCCGGAGCCAGGGAACACTGTTACGAGGCATACCAAATTGATTACTTTCAACGCCAGGCCTTGTTTTTCGCGATGTCGGGCAGATTTCGCCGAAATAACTGACCTGATCGAAATTAGCTTAGCAACACCTTAACCTGGACAAATTGAAAATTGCCGTGCGAAACCATAATGGCGGAGATGATTATTTCTCACGGGAAAAGACTTGTGAGGAAAGTTTCGTGGCTTATTATTGTGAAGTGTGCGAAGACCCTATGCAAACCTGTGTGCCTAGATGGAAGCAGGAATTTGGCATTTTTGCACAAGAAGGATTTTCAGATTCTTGAGAAAAATGTAGAATCCATGCGGAGTACAGAAGCAGAAGATCAAGATAAAAATTGGAAATAATTCCCTAGTCCAACACCTCCTTATGTCGAATATTTTTCGAGTCCCTGTCTTAATTATTTTAAAAATAATTTATTATAATTATAAAACCTCCCAACTCTGAGACTTTCCCCCTCAAACCTCTATGACTCGAATTCCTGGCTGCCTTTTGGCTATTATTGTTGTGACCCAGGACAAAGAAAATCAGTAACAATTGAATTGATGCTTTGTGAAAGGAAATGAACCCTTGTCTCCACGTTCAGCATCTCGTCAACTCCTTCATCCTTGACCAAGCAGTTTCAGGCCAAAAATATCACTAATTTGTCATCAAAAATTGTATAACAGTTTTCTAACTCGGAAATTCCCCAAGTCGAATTCTAAGGGACCTGCGAAAAAATTCGACTCAAATTCTAGTGTGCATTATTATTATCTGATCTTGGATGACCTTTGTCGTGTGCACTTTTTGCAGTGTGAGGCACAAACTATCTCTTGGTAATACTGTATAAGGGCTGCATTGTTTGATTTGTATCAGGAGAACATGATTCTTCAGTGAGATCCCCAGATGCGGACATGATTGGTGCATCAAGAGTGTCCCTAAGTTGAATTTTCCCTAAGTCAAGTCTTGTTTTCTCATAGACTTACATTACATAATTTTTAATTGGTGTTCTATGGAAGAAATATTCTTCAGAATTCCATGGAAAAAATATTTATTTGCCATTCGAATTTGATTCAGTGAATATATTTTCAACCCAATAAGAACATTTGGAGCATTGAATAGTGTGTCTCTCTACAGTTCATTGAAATGTTGGCATCTGTAAAAATAACATCCAAGTCAAAAAGAGATAAGGAAGTCCCTCTGTGCTACAGGTAATTTTTTTTTTAATTAGCTGAATGGATGGGAAAGTGATGGGAAAAGTACCAAAGAATTTTTCTTACATAGATCTTAGGGTTGGAAATATCTTGTTTCTTGCAATTAAGCCTACTAAAAGTCTATTTTCCTAAAATTTATTCGCAATTTCATCATGCAATGTCCTCATGTTGAGTCAGTGTCCATATGTCGGGCCTTTTTTATGATTCTTTTATTGAAAAATAAATGTCCCTATACAGTATTGAATTGTCCGCATGTGTGGGTCTCACTGTACTGAACTGGTTAACTGTACTGAGATACTGTATAATCATTGTGGCAGTATTTCAATTTAATCTAGTGTGATTAGTGGATGAAAATACAGTATTCCTATCGTGTAAGATGATAAACGCAAAGGGGTAAATAAAGTAATGTATATTTGTTCGTTACAGACACTACAAGAACTTGGCCGGGATTTCCCACATAACCAGCCGGTGTTGGTGTTCAGAGACACCTCGCCGCAACTGCTAAGCCTGCTACTAACCTACATGTACCAAGGCGAAGTGGAAGTGCCTTCAGACGTTCTCAAGGACTTGATGGATCTCGCCGACAATCTCGATGTCAAAGGCCTACGCCAAACATCCGCCGACATGGCGAAGCAAACGAAACAAGGAAAAATTTGGAACCCGATTGCGGATTCCGAGACCCCCGTTGGATCCCCGGGCTCCACGTCAACGGCCGCGTCCCCGTCGCCGTTGAACTTTTGCATTCAGGAAGTGACGGGGAAAGTGAGTGGGTCTGCGAAGCGTAAAAGACACTTGCCTGTGTCGAATGGGGGAAGGAAAGAGAATAACAATAACGTCAACGGCGTCGAGACTCCCCGAGTCGCACCCGAGTTGATCCCCCTTGAGGCCCCCGCGAGGAAGATTGCATCGCTCATGTCTTCCACTGCTCCACCCCCTGTGAATGTGAGTACAGTAATTTACTTCCGCTGACAGTTACTTTGGGAACAGAATTATTTTTGATGCCACGTGCTTGTTGAATACAACAGTAGTCGAGGATCCGCCTGGCTAGTGACGGGTGTGAACAGTCGACGAAAGGTCTCGAGAAAATTGTTTTTATTCGTCCTGCGCCTTTCGTCTTTCTGGCACGCGAACTGTTGACTGGTTTCAATTCTTTGGACTTTGACGAGGCAATCGTAACTTTACTGCTGGATTTTATTGCGTCAAAAAATATCTGATGTAGTTAGGGGTGGTCTTCGTATGTTTTCCTCTTCCATTAGTGGGGTTGGATGCTCCTGATTTCTTAAAATGCGTATTTCAGGCGCTATTGGACATTTATTTCAAATTTTTTCCTTTTAATTGAGAATGTTGACGAGACTGTATTAAAAAACGAGTGAGCGAGATCACAACTTGACGGAGAAGATTGCATTGCATCTTTTGCCAAAAATGAGGACTGATTCTTTGCAAATCCTTCCCCTTCAAGGAGTTCTTTCTGATTTTCTGGGCATTTTCGCGGTACCTTGATTGCGAATTTATTTCATTCAATCTCTGTGTCGTTGTTGCTAATTTTGTGTATGTGTGTGTGAAAAATTTACACTTTTAATAGGAGTCTTTCTGCGTTGGAGAAGGAACCTCTGGAGAGGACGAAGAACCTGAGAACTTGACAGTTGGCACACCAAGGTTGGAGGTTCCTGCTGCGGGGGCAAGCAGTGACGACAAAGAGGGCTCTGGAGTGAGTAATTTATTCTGTGCTTGTAATTGTACTGTAATTCATTTTACTGATGGATCCATCGACGGAGAAGGGAAGAAGGTTGATTTTTGTCCTGTATCGGATTTTTCGTCTTAATGATCTTGAATCTTCCCAATTTTTGATTACCAATTCTTCTTATGCGTGGACATTAATTCTGACCTTTGTTTGGTTAGAACGAGGACGAGGGTCTTGCACCGGGCGAAGAAGGTGGAAAGGATGAAGCCACATTGCCGCCGGGAAGTCTGCCGTCGGACGTGTCACCTGAAGTGAGTTGGCTGTCGGCTGATCCACAAATTAGACCAGAGGGGCTTTTCTTGCGATTTTTTTTTCTCTCGAATTTTCAAGATGTTCAAGTGCTTGCGAAACCAATTCAGGGTGTATTTTGCTTAGGGCTTCAACTGAATTAACTGAATTCATCCTTGACTTGAGTCGAGGCGGTGCCAATCGTGCATTTCAGTTTTCGAGTGCCTTTTGTAAAAAAATTTCCCCTCAAATCTCCCTTCATCTGTTTCCAACTCAACTCAAGTTATGGATATACAGTACTCAGTAGTGGATATCCAATAAGTGTATGCCCAGTCATACGAATAATTCGACATTGAAATACTTGACTAAAAAAATCTGCCGTAGCATCCGGATAATGTCTCAAGATACGGACACCTTACCAACATTTATAGAAGAATTTTTTATTCTCGAAATCGCGTGCTTGAATTCTTGTGACCTGCTTCTGTATTGAAATCGATTCTTCAAAGGGTTCCGCGGCTTGGAAATGTTTGGTATCTCGTCGTTCATTTAATTTTTCGTCTTTTAGCAAGTATGAGTGACCGTAATGGCGAGTGCAGAAAAAAAAAAGCATTTTGGAATAACGGCATGAATGCTCGCGAATCCAGGTGAAAGTCAAAGCTTTCTGTTCGGCCTCGTGGGACCGCCCTCCTTTTCATTTTAGTTAACGGAGTGAGGGTAATTTTATCGTCGCTTGCAGAATGCCAAATTCGGTTCATGTGGAAGTTTTCAAACTTTTCCACTTCTCGGTTGATTTGGTAGTTTTGTTCATGAAGCTTTTCCGTCGGTGTTGCGTTTTTAGATTTTGTTAGTCCTAAATCCGGTTTTTCACTGCACCGTTCCACATTGTCTGTTCGGATGGTGCGAGGTAAGAATCATTGAAAGGGAGGCGATTTAAAGAAATGAGCTCATATTTTCTGTCAACAATTCTTCAAAATTAATCCTTACATCTGGCTTAGAAAAATTATTCTGAATGGATTGTGCGCTCTAAAAAAGTATAGGGCATGGAAATTATGTTGAAATGCGGGAAGAAAACCGTCCAACGAGTTCTGTAAATGTGCTAAAATGACGCGTTATGATTGAGAAAGGGTGCAGGTTATGAAAAGATCTTCTGGGTGCTGTCCTATTTTAAGAACTTTGAATATCTATAAAGCTTTGCCCAAATGCCGGAAACGACTTCTTATCTATTTTTCATTCGAAAGAAATACGTTTTATCTAATTTCGTAACATGGCTAACAAAAATGTAAAAAAGGTCGTGACTGACATTTTGTCCTGCTTCCCGAGCAAAAAATTCTTTTCAAATTTGCTTTAAGTGGAAAAAAATCATGCGGATCATCTTGCCTATAGAAAAGGATTTTGTTTTACGAAGCAATGGCAGGACATGCTTAGAAACTGTAAGAGTGACCGCCGTACAGTAGTACAGTACATACGGTACTAAATTTAAAGAAATGAGCTCATATTTTCTGTCAACAATTCTTCAAAATTAATCCTTACATCTGGCTTAGAAAAATTATTCTGAATGGATTGTGCGCTCTAAAAAAGTATAGGGCATGGAAATTATGTTGCAATGCGGGAAGAAAACCGTCCAACGAGTTCTGTAAATGTGCTAAAATGACGCGTTGTGATTGAGAAACGTTGCAGGTTATGAAAAGATCTTCTGGGTGCTGTCCTATTGTAAGAACTTTGAATATCTATAAAGCTTTGCCCAAATGCCGGAAACGACTTCTTATCTATTTTTCATTCGAAAGAAATACGTTTTATCTAATTTCGTAACATGGTTAACAAAAATGTAAAAAAGGTCGTGACTGACATTTTGTCCTGCTTCCCGAGCAAAAAATTCTTTTCAAATTTGCTTCTTCACCTTTTTTTAGTACGCCTAGTAGAACGGATATCTTTTCCTAAAACAAAATGCTTCGTTACCGTCCTGTACGAATCTTTGACATTCTCACTGGCGGCATGTCATCATGTCATGTATGCCATGATCAGTATAACATGTACAGTGGGTCCCGCAAAACGAAACTCGTTCTTTCTCGGATGCTTTTCGTCATGCGAAATTTTTGCGTTTTCCCTTGAGATAGCGTAATTTTCAGCGTTTCGGACACTACCCAAAAAAGCTAACTACAGTATACTATAAAGTACTGTATTTTCATTTTCTGCATAAAATAAAGAATTCAATATTATTTGTATGAAATTGAAGTAATCCTGACATCTCTTGCTCATAACTTTCTGAAATTCTTTGAATTATAAGCACAGGAAAATCCAAACTCATAACCTCGCTTTTTAAAATGCCCGCGAAAAATTACCAAGTTAAAATTTAAATTTTAGCATTTTTCGGCCCGAAAATTTCGTCAAGTTAACAAAGCTCGTTATGAGTCACTTTTTCTCCCAAGAATTTTCGTTTCGCGAATTTTTGTAGAGCGTTTATTTTGTTGTGTGGGTACTGTATTCAGTGTATTGTATTTCGTCAGGCTTGAGATTCTCGCCTCACCTGTATAATAAGTCTTAACATTCTAGAAGTGCAGTAGATTAACTGTGTTTTTTTTGATTATGCTTGTAGTTCCCGGTGGTGTTCATATCGTCCGGCCTGATGCGCGGCCGCAACAAGGAAGGCAAGGCGGTGCACTTTTGCGCCCGGTGTGGTTACGTGAGTGCGCATCGCGGCGCCGTCCGACGCCATTTGCGAACCCACACGGGCGAGAAGCCGTTCCAGTGCGACCTATGCTGGCGTCGCTTCGCTCGCAAAGATCACCGCAACGATCATCAAGTCCGCTGTTCCGGCGTTCAAAGTCTCCACCGTTCCGCCGCTTTGTTGGCTGCAGCCGCCGCGGCCGCTTCTGCAGTGAAAACCGAAGGCGTCGGAGAAGTGTTCTAGCGCTTGCGTCTGTCTCGCGGGGCGTGTGTGTGTAGTGCTTGCGTGCGTGTGTAATGTTTTGTTTAGAGGAAAAGGTGTCTTTCGTTAGCGCCATGACCACCTTTGGCCCTTGTTTTCCCCCTTTGGAATCCGTGGAGTGAAGAGCACTGTGCGACTCGGGCATAACTTCATCACTGGTGTAATTTCTGCTGATGGTTTCCGCAATTTTTCGCCAACTTAATTCAAAGAGAAATGCCGTCCTGATTTACATTTGAGTCTTCCGAAATGTCGAATTCGCTGATGTGATACTGCTAATGTTTCCATTCATCGATGGAAAGTGGCAACACACTTTGACTTAAGACTACATCAAAGTGACGGATCAAAGTGAATCCTTTAATCGTTTCGAGACTGGAAGTTTTAATTTGAAACATGAGTTCTGCGAATAACTCGTATTAAATGAAAGAAGAAGGTTATTTTCTCTCTTGAGTGAGACCGTTGTGCCAGTTCGCAGATGTTTCACCCCGCGGAGGAAAAAGGGAAGGCCAGGGCGTGTGTCATGCTATGAAGATAACCGTGTTCTGGGCCACAGGCTTTAGCAGCACCTTTTCGGTTTGGTTTGGTTCTCCACTCGTCGAGCTCAAAGTTCTCATGTTGATCTCAAAAGGTTTTATTTCAGCATTTGGTTTTTTGTTTGTTTTTTGTTCTCCTTTGTCTCGCATTCCAGAAACGTCGTAGTGTGATGGCTTTTTGGTCGAATCGGTCGCTTTAAAGAATTTTTTGTGGGGGACGACTTGAAGGAGGAGCAAGCGTGAGAAATCGTTTGCTGGGTGACGGGGGATGTGTGGGTTAGTTGTTCATCCGCTTCGCGTCGGTAATTTAGAAGTGTTCACAGGGTTAGTTGATGTACAGAACGTTCTTGTACTCTTTTTCTCTCTCTCCTGTAACTCTCTCAACGTTGCCGAAAAAATAATCTTCGAGTACAAAGTCTTCCGTGCCTCTTCCTAATCCTCGAGAAGAAGAAGAAAAAAAGATGGAGTATATTCTTGATCTAGATATGGAAATCGTATTAGGCATTAGTTGGAATTTTCTCGATTTCCAAACACTCCCCATTGTTTCTCAGGTTTTTCAACATTATTCGAGATCTCTGATTATACCGTCCCGAAAAAAAATCTCGTCTTGTAAGTTGTGTCGAAAAGCTTTTCAAGTCCCGAAGTCTGCAAGGCATTGATTTATTTTCCCGCTACAGAGGTGTCGCCTGAATCTCATTAACAAATGTCTTTTTTTTGGCTTAGAAAAGCATTAAGCCTTTTTTTTGAGTTTTTTGGACTACGTACGGTCAAGTTACACAGTACGTTTAATGGCCATTCAGACGACGCCCACTTTTCCCTTTCCAGAATAAAATGCCAGAATGTGAGAGAAGAATTCAAGCATTAATTACGCAAATATAATTTTACGAGTATGAGAAGAAGCGAGTTTTAAGACTTCGGTTGATCCGGAGATGGATGTTGACGGAGAAGCAGTTGAAGCTCATGATCATTTCGAAAAAAAGCCCCGGATTATGAAGTCTTGAATGATATTTCTAAACTTTGATACTATACTTCGGATGAAGAAATTTTTAAAAGACGATTTTTTCAGTTTTTCATTCTGCGAAGTTCGGGAGAAAGCTTAATGACGAAGTTGTTTTGGGAAGAAAAAAATCCGAGTGATTGAATGGTTGAGAACCGTTGATGGAATCCACCCTTTTTTTTAGGATCTCATTTATTCCCTCGCTCATCTTTTTTTATATTCCCCTCAAATCGGGGGGGAATAGAAAAAAAAAGAAAAACAGGATGCAAAACGTTGCAGTCTTCATTTTCGAGCGCGAAGAAAATATCAGCAACCTGTGATAGAAATACCAAATTGATCTTTGTAGAAGGAAAAAGAAGGAATCACTAACAAAGGACATCCTAACACGAAAAAAAGAAAAACGGAGAATCGGCTGTTGCAAGCCCGTCCAAGTGTTGAACACTTCCGCTCAACCAAAAAAAGAAAACTGTCGTTCATGTTTTTGCGTCTTCCGCGTCGCCAAGAGAGAGTTTGTTTGTTTTGTTTTTTTTTTTCTCGAGCAGAGCTATTTTATTTTTTGGTGTAAAAACATTTACCGGATGTTATACCGTTTGAAAAAGAAGGAAGAAAAAGAAATAAGGGAGTGGCGGGGGTCATTTTAGTTGAGTTGAACCTAGGATTTAGATTGCAACAATCTTGGATGGAGCACTTTTTTTGTTGTTGTTGAAAAAAAAAGAAGAAAACTTTTAGTTTTTTGTCCTCCTTTTTTGATCTGCACCCTGAGATGAGTTTCTCGGTTGGGTTGTTTTGAAGGGGGGAAAAAAGGAGGGAAGTGGGGGTCAAAATTTATAGTTCGGATCTCATGAACTGCGAATTACTTGCCCGTTCCGATTCGTGTGGTTTTTAAGCTTTTGTTGGCGAGAAATGAACCCTGAGGGAAACATTGTGTTGTGAATCTTGCCCTGTCTGTGTTGTATGTGCGTTCGTTGCCTTTTTGTTTTTGTTTTCCTGCAACTGAGAGTGATCAAGTGAATTGGCTTTCGTTATGAGTATGCAGCTTTGTTTTGTTGGTTCCCCCGGTTGGAAAGAGCTATATGAATAAAGGTTTGATCAAGCACAACAGGATTTGTCTGATTTTCTTCATCTGAGTGCTGTGTGATGTGAAAATAATGATACAGAATTTGCATGAGATCCAATTTGTAATTTTTTTTCCAGAATCTGTCAGCTGACAATCCAGAAGTTGTCTGCAATCATTTAATATTTTATTTGGAGATTTTCCGACGGAATCTTAAGCCTTGCATTCAATCAGATACAGTATACATGTACCGTTTGTATAATTAAACTTCCCAAATTCAAATTGAAGGGACTCTAATTGACTCATCAAAGTCAAATTCTTTGAAATGGGGAATACGGCCAGATTTGTGTCGGTCAATCAATGAAATAATTTTTTCAGGTGGATTCTCTTTATGACAATATTGTTGACAAAAAATTTCTCGTTACAGTATAACATTTTTTGGCCTTATTATAGGGTTCCATAGTCCCTACAACAAAATTCTCTCTGCAGTGACTTTTTCTGTTCTCTTGAATTTGGTTGCACAGGGAGTCCATCTGTAAAATTGAAGAAGTTTGTTATACTTAGGTGTACTATATGTGAGAAGTTGCAAAATCCCTAGTGGAAAACATTGCAATAGAAAGTGTTCATGCTCTGGGTCAGGTGTTCTAAATCTGAAATGCAATCTAAATTTAAAAGCTTGTCAAAGGCAATGGAAAATGATGCTGAGGGAGGTTATTCAAAAGCAAAAGTTTTAAAGGCATAAACTGCATTATAGTTGTTTGTGGGGTACACTGGAAATTTGAGCATTGGATAATTTTGTCTCAATTTGAACTATGCATGCTGTACACACAGGTGGACTCTTTACAATTACATTGTCCACTGCGACTTTTTCTGTAAAACAATTTTATATTTGGCCCATCAGAGGATCCTCTCCCCAGGTTACAGGGGTTTTCTACAAGATTCTCTCTCCAACTCAGAGATAAATTATATTTTCCTGTTGTGTGGAATATTTTTTGTCACAAAGAACCACTTAAACATGGGGAAAGAACCCTATACATTACAGTGTTCCCCAAGCTTTTATGGACTATGGACTGGCCAATTTTCAAAAAATGTTCTGCAGACTGGCAAAGTTCACTCTTTTTTCTTTACATTTTTGCATTTTCAAACAAGTTTTGCCTGAAATACTTTATGGCAGGTATTGAAAAAGTTTCTGCTTTTTTTGTGAATAAATTGACTTCAGAACCAATTAAGCAGGTATTGTGGAATGTCTACAAAAATGTAGAAAGTTGGGTTTAAAAAAAAAATTTCTCTGATTGAAAAATTTAAAATAGGTTTTTTTTCATCAGGTTAAAATTTTTCTGAAGTGTTATTATGAGAAAAGTCAACTTTTGTTTTTCATGAGATACTTTTAACTGTAATTATCTTGTAAAAACTTCAGATAAGGATGCTGTAAAATCCTGAATTGATAGTTTTGATAAATTTATTATGCTTGAGATAATTTCCAGCAGACCAGCAAAAAAACTTCTGCGGACCATGGGTTGGGGAACACTGCTATATGTGAGTTGGGACCAAAGAAAAAATCGTTATGCAGTAAAAAATCTTTGTAGACAATATTATTTTTGTGAGAGTTCACCTGTATTTATACATCACAGAAAAATAATAACTCATATAGTAGCTGACCCAGAAAAAAAAGAAAGAAAAAAAAAGAGCTGAGTGCAATAGTAGTGCAAATATTATAATGAATTCCTTCTACTGAGCTTGTCTTGGTGTCCCCATGAATGACCTGCGTGATTGGGGGATACTGCAGTTGGAAGGATTCTTCTTTGAAAGACTCTACCTGTCTCTAATTTGCAACTTTACTCATTCTCAGGTGTATTTATGTCAATCGAATTATTTGGATGGCTTCTCATTTTCATGAGGTAAGAGTATTTTCTTGAAAGAAGGAGTAATTTTAGAATATTTTTTTGGAATCCGAAGCCCAGCAAGTTGAGTTATTTCAACTGTCAGAAACACCATCGAAGAAATTATCTTCACAGGAACAATTTATTTGTCATAAGCATGGAATTTGTTGGCCTTGTATGATTTCTCATCAAAGATTTTCTCTAAATTGTGCATTCAACTAAACCTTATATGGGAACAGGCTGAAAACCTTATGCTTTATTGGATTCAGTAACTGCTGCAATTGCTTCAATTCTGGCTTATGCTGCAATTCTTGTGACTGATATTCTGTTTTCAATGTCAGGGAAAGAAGGGGTGTATGCATACACAACAGTTGTGCAGTTAAATTTTGTGGAATGCATTTTCTTTTATTTTTGTTATCCATATGCAGCTATTTTCTCTGTTTCCCATTCTGAAGTGATTGAATGCCTTTGAATGGATTTGGGTTGGGTGGAGGGGGTTTTGGTTGTGGGAATGTTGATCAAACTTTGTGAACACTGGAAAGCAGAAAATAAAGCTTTCTGTTCATTCATTCATAAGCATGGGACCAATGAGGTAAAAGAAAAAGGCATCTCACTGGTGCGTCTAAAATGAACCACAGTCATGTTGAATTTTGGAAGTAAAATGCTTGAAATCGCTGTCTCAAAAAGCTTTATTAAGACAATCACATAGAGCAAAATTTAAAAAATGCAAATCCAAGATTTACAAATAATATTGTGCCATACTTTCCCGAGCAGCTGAAGAGCAGCAGTTTGACCAATTCTGCCGAAACCCCAAACTACTATTTCCAGCGCTAAGAAATTGAAGGAATGGGGGTAAGTGAAAAAATCCTCTGCTTCTTATATACCAACGTGTGCCAGTTCTGCAAGAAAAGCGAGCTGCAGCTAGCCAAGAAAGTTCCATTCTTGCTGTCATAATGAGCTTTCGTCATAGCTGCGGAAAACACCCCCGATAACCCCCTGAGAAAAGCCGAAATCAATGGGCGATTCGGACTGAGCCCCTGGCTCTGAAGCCGTACAAATAGAATTCCCCTTATATACTTGTATATACAGTATATAAGGACACACAGCGATTCATACCATCATTTTCATGTATACAGTATATTTAATGATAAGAACACTATATAAATATCATCAGTTTTCACGAGCGTGAATTTTCTCTCTTCAAAAGGACACCCAAAATATGCTCAAGAAAATGAAGGAATTCATATACTCTCATTACACATATACAGTATGTTATCCTATTTGGCTTAATTTTAATTTAGAATTACTAAAAGATAAAACTATTGGGAACGTAAAGAGTGTCTTTCCTCTTGGAGTTCTTTACTCCTTGATTCGCGGAGAGGCAAAGTGCTGGCAACGCAAGACTTTTGAAATAACAGACAGACTTTCTTGACAATGCAAGTTTTATTCAAAGTCAGACAACTCAAACAACCAAACAATGCGAACGGCAGGGATTCTAGATGGACTCTGACTGCTTAGAGGATTCAGTGATCAACTGATTTTAGCAGTCTGGAGCTAGGGTTTATATATATATTATATATTATATACATTATATTTATATTATTTATATATTATTTATATATTATATATAATATTATATATATTATAATTTATTATATATTTATATTATATATATTATATACTATTTACGAAAAATAGTACTTTGTAACAAGTATATGAAAATGGTTGAACAAATTCAGACTGCCAGTGTAAAGAGGGCAAGTTTCAATTGCAAAAGTAAACATGACTTTAATAATAATAAAAAAAAACTTGTGATTACTGTAGTTTTTTCTGGCATAAAGGTGTTCCCAAACCTTTTTGGGTCCATGGACCAGCAAAATTCCCATAAATATTTTTTGCGCCCCAGAAAAATCCCAAAAAATTTCTGTGGACCAGCAAAGTTTCATAAAAATTATTCCTACTCAAAAACGTTTTGCTTGAAAGACTTCATAGCCAGTATTTAAAAATTTCCTGCAAGTTAAGCACCAAAAAACTCTTCAAAAAGTTAGATAGGTGGACTTCAAGGAAGGTTTCTCAGAACGAAAAATTAAAATTAGTAATTTCAGCAGGGACATTTTGTCTGAAGCATTGTGAAGAGGATAAGCAACTTTTATTTTTCATCAGATAATTTCAACTGCCATTATTGTCTTTCTGAAATTTCAGATGAAGATAACAAACTTCATTTCTACTTCTGATAAATTTATCATGCTGCAGAAAATGTCCCTGTGGACCAGCACAAGTTTCTGCAAACTGGCACCAGTCCACAGACTATGGATTTGGGAACACTGGCATATATTGTACTACTATAGTATATAGATGGTGCTTGTGGCAATCCTATGGAAGATATTTTATCTGAGATCTAAGTACAAAAATAAATATTCCAGAATACAATATGGGAAGCTGATGAATACAGTGGAGAGACAGACATGTCCATACCACTCATTCCTTGTGTGAAGATGAGTGAGTGGGAACAACTGACTAATGCATTATGGGGTCTATATAGGGCAGATGTGAGGGAAAGACATTTTTCTGTGCAGCACACATGCAGGTCTGACCTAAAGAATATATATAAAACAGCATCCATATTTGGGCTTGTCATAAACCATTAGGCATATCATGGTCATAATTAACAACTGAAAATATTTCATGATAGAAAAATTAAGCACCATTCCAGTCTTTCAGATTATTTGCATTGCTTGTGCCACTGACTCTCTTTGAATGTTCCACAAAAGAATATCCTCACCTTCAGAACTCTAAGCAATACATTATCCTAATTCCAAAATACTGCAATATATGTATATACTTTATATACTTATATACTTATACTTATATACTTATATACTTTTTTGTCTGGATATAAGAACTAATGATGCAGGAGCAGAAAAGTGATTGTTAAATAATGAGGTGCAACAAAACCTGTTGGTAGGCTGATTCAAGTACAATACTTCAAAACACGGAAAAACTCCATCAACAATGCAGGCGGAACACAGCAAAGCAGCAAGATTGCCACAAAATTTGCTTGGTCTCCATTTTAGAGTCAAGTTTCAGATTAAGTTCACAGATGCTTTTTATCTTAATTGGAAATAAAATGACAGCATTTTGCTGATACTTTAATCATTTTGCTACCA